TACATGGAGTAATCTCACAGAATGTTGAGAGGGGGAAAAATGCTGTATGATTCCATTTACATCAAGTTCAAAAACAGGCAAAACCAAACAAAGGCTATGATCAAGACACTGGTTTCAGTTGGAGTAAGGGGAGAACTATATGACTGAGAAGGGGGCATGAGGGAGTCTTCCAGGATGCTGGTTTTGTTCTATTTCTTGATGCAAGTGATGGTTAAACAGTGTATTCCCTTTGTGGAAATTCATTAAGCTGTAGGCTTTTGATCTATTTTCTTTATACTTGAATATGAAATTTGCTTTAAAAGAATGCCGACAGTATAGGAGAATGTTTCTCTACATACAATTTACATATAGATTATTCTAGAAATCTAATCATCTTTGCCAATTATAATCTTTACCAAAGGAAAATTAGCATCTCTTAAATGTTTTGACTAACATTTTAAAGAGGAACAAGGTTGGGGGGGGGGAGGGAATGCTCTTAAAGTTGTTTCTTCCTAGAATTCCATCAAAAGCAAATTCTGAGGGGGCTCAGCAGTTGCAAAGACCTGTTATCAAGGCTACAAATGTGCTATTAATGGAAAGGAAGACTTATAAGCACCAGAATTTTAAATAGCAAAAAAAGGGTCTTTGTGAAAGACCTAGAAACAAGCAATATAGAGTGGAAGCAGGACTGCCAAGAGTTTCAACACAACTGGAAGCATGGTCAATGGCAGCTTTAGAAGTAGCCCCCGAACAGGATTCATACTGCCTGGGTTGTGCAAGTACACATTACTTCAATTATGAAAGAAAGTAAATGTCCAAAGAGCAAAGCACTTTTTAAGAGTAACAGTTTTCAGCCCTCCCTTATACATAGCAGGCCTGTACCTACAACCTGACACAGTCAGCTGATCATACAAGAGTGCCAACCCCGGGTCTTCCCTAAAGTAGTAACTGAGACAGCACAGGGCTCACCTCTTCATATATTACAGCTTTTGAAAGGCGTTTATCAACTGAAAAACAAATGATCTCAGAAAGGTTAAAATGTATTTTTTAAATGATCACTGTAAAATAGAGAAAACACAGTATTTCAATAAAACATTAAGAGTTTTGATAAAGAGCAAAAAGATAGAATGGCTTAATGGTTAAGAACACAGCCTCTGTAGTCATACAGACCTAACTATTAATCCTGTTTGAATACAGTTAGCTGTGTGGCTTTGGGCAAGTTCAACTTTTCCCTGGTTTACTATTTGCAAAATGCAGGTGACAACTCACCAAACTATTATTTATGTGCTAGATCACAGACACTGTTTAATAATGAGCACAGTGCCTGCATATGGCCAGTACTAAATACTAACTGCATATTATGTACCAACTACAAGATTAGTACCTCAAATGACATATATATAGCAAGACAGGGTTAATAATTACCATTTCCCAAACAAAGCAAGATTCACCTTTAAAATGCCATTTTTCAGGGCCCCTGGGTGGCTTAGTTGGTTAAGCACCCGACTTCAGCTCAGGTCATGATCTCACAGTTCAGGAGTTCAAGTCCCACACGGGCTCTTGCTGTCAGCTCAGTGTCTACAGCCTGCTTCAGATTCTGTGTCTCCTCTCTGCCCCTCCCCAGCTCATGCTCCTCCTCTCTCTCTCTCCAAAATAAAAAATAAATGAAACGCCATTTTTCAGCATGCTCCAGCTCCTACAGTCCTACAATCATTAGTATAGCAGCCAATTTGGGGTCTTCCTTATTAATAGCTCTCAAAGTGGCATTTGTCTGAGGCAGAAGCCAAGTTAGATGTTTCTACATTTATTCCATCACCTTCCCCTTACTATGATCTGACATAAAGTTCATGCTTATCTTCCTAGAAGCAAAATATAACTCTGGAGGATTTGCTTTTCTGGCCATCGGTTCCAGAACCCAAGCATAGATACATTCATTGGTGCTCCCAACATTTTAAAAAAGCTTTGGGTTTAAAACATCTTTTTCAAACCCAAGTATGGATATAGAGACATATTTAAAAAAAAAAAAAACACTTTGGGTTTAAAACATCTTTTTTCAAAGAAAAGCACTAAGAATTATAATTGAAACAAATTGCACTCGAATTGTAATGGTAACTCAAGTTTCTCTTGAAACCAATTGATCCTCAGAGCATTCAACCAAGAGCTGAAACAACTCCACCTTTCCAGACCACAGATAGAAGTGGAAGCGATACTGTCCTTACAAGGGCTGTCCCCTTTCTGCAGTCTTCCCTGTCTTCCAACTTCTGACAGAGATCCAAAGACCTGTACCCATCACCACAATCCTTCCCAAGTGCCTTCATTGGTTTTTCTCTCCGTATCAAGATCATCACATTCTTGAGCATGCTCCTGGCATCCTGAGTTTGTGGACTACATTATATAATGAAGTCCATCCACAGAACCAACTAGAGAACCCTTTTAACTAAACAAACTCATGTGATGATCTAAGTTGACAAACATCACCTCCACAAGCCATGCCATGTTGTAAATTACCTATGTGTTTGACTCAAATCCAGGCATTTGTGCATTCGTGTTTAGTATGGGAACAGACTACAAAACGCTGAATGCCATTATCTTTAACAATGTGTAATAGAGGGGTGCCTGGGTGGTTCAGTTGGCTAAGCATCCAACTTCAGCTCAGGTCATGATCTCACAGTTCGTGAGTTTGAGCCCTGCGTCAGGTTCTGTGCTGACAGAGCCTGGAGCCTGCTTCAGACTGTCTCCCTCTCTCTCTCTCAAAAATAAACATTAAAAAACTTTGTTTAAAAATGTGTAATACAATTTTATGAATTCCTTCAGTTTTGATCTAGATGCAGCAGGCAGTTGGCCACTTTGCCGCTGGAAAAAAAAACAAAAAAATCAACCTGAAAATCTCTTGGACGTAACCCCAAATGTCTCCAACTATCTAATGGAGGAGCATTAACACAAAAATCTTAATTACTTATTCTAATTATGGGCATACACATATATTTTCATAAGATAAAAACTACTAAGACACATTACTATTCTGTTAATTTCCTAAGTCTTCTCTACCGAGAAGCCAGGATATATACACTTGTGGTGTCAACACCTCATTTAGTAGCAACAAATCAAGTGTGATGATGGAGCGGATATTCTTATACTGCTGATAGGGAAGAGGGGGGCTATAAAGTGGCACGACCCCTTTGGAGGGAAATGGACAATATTTACCAGTAGAAAAGTTAATGTTCTCGGACACAGGAAACCTAGAAATGTATCAAATACACATGCAAATATTTAAGTGCAGTTACAAGGATATTTAATGCAGCACCATTTATAATAGCAATGCTGGAAACAATCTGAATGTCCAAAGGGAGTCAACTAGTTAAGAAAAGATCAGGAGTACATCCATGTTACACTGTCATTCAAATTAAATCTAAATGCGGAATACAGAATGATCTGTATTAGCTAAATACCTATACACGCTGTACAGACTATTTTTTGAAAAAAACTACTTAACACTGTCTCTAGTAAGGGGAACGGCTACAGACTTCTACCACGTGTACATGTACTACTGAGAACGAAAAGTATTCTTTTCTGCTTCTGCCACTGACCTTTGGAGTGGTAGTGGGGGCTAAGGTAATTTTACTTCAGACTAAGTAAGGAGGATTATTTGGACACATTCAGCCTTATTTAGTTGTATAACCCAAAATTCCATGCTAGAAAATGATCCATAATTATACCTTAAGTATGAATTTGTCCTTTTATGATTAAAATAAATACCGTGTTGCTACCTGGTTGAGAGGACAGTAATGAAGTGACTTGGTGTTTCTTAGTGTTCTTCACAACCAGGTTACAAGTAAAAAAAAAATTCTTTTTCTAAAAATACACATCATCTTTGGGGAAACAGACAAGTGATTTACGAAGAAAAGGGAGGGGAGACCTTTCCACATTCAGGAAAACAATACTGTCAATGTGTTTGGACTAGAGATTTTATTTTAGAAAGATAAAGGATGGAGGCGCAATAATATTTGGCATTTTTAATTTAGGTTTGTTTTATTTAAGTTTAATGTTAATTCCATGCTGTGTTTCAGTAAGAACAATACAGATTCTGTATCTGTGGCTCCAGTCAGATATCCAGTAGTACAAATTAGCTTCAAGTTACA